AAGACCTTATGAAAGATAATCGTGGCCATTTTCCTTTCACTGTCGCTCGCTTTTAGAGTAGAAGCTGCTTTGTGCAGCTGTTCGTAACGACGTCCATCGAGGTTTTCAGTATAGCAAACGATTAAACATGGTTTTTGTTCGAGAAAATCAATATTAAAATAGAAACGAGTCCGATGTTTATTAATTACTTCCAATTACGGTTAATTAATATACAATAAAAAAAGTGTCGAACTGTTCATAGTTGATTGATTGTTGTAAGATTATTATTCTTTATTTTCTTATATACCATAGTATATATATATATATAAAAATCGATGCTGCAATGCTTATTTAATTGCGTTTGATTAAGTTAGAATAAAAATATGTCCGAATTTTGTATAGATGATCGATCATCATTTCGAAATATGTCCTCTTTCTCTCTCTCTCTCTCTACTTATTTATTTTTGTAATTTTTCAATAATGGTCAAAGCTCAAAGCATCCTTCTAGTTATATGATTCTCGCTAGATAAAATGTAGATTCGATAGAGGTGAGGAAAGTAAAGGGTGGAGAACCTTTTGTCCCTCTAGGGCAAACGCTTGATAACGAGTTACTTGGAAAGGCATTGCCAACCGACCGTATTTCCCTTTTGTCATTTGAATTTCAAATGGCCGATTTAACCGATTTCTTGCTGCATTCACGCTTAGTTCTAACTAGAATTAAGATCGGACACATTCGGGCTGCAACAGTTTAACTACGAATTTTGTATGAGAACGTTGCATTTAACGTGTCATTTCTTTTTACCCTTTTATTTGTTTTTTTTTTCTTCTATTCTTCCTTAAGTACGATGATGTTGTAATTGATAAGGATAACGTTTGACCAAGACGATAAAAAAGAACGTTTCTAGGTCGTCGTAGTCGATAATGCTTCTTCTGTGCTATAAATAATACAAAAAAAAAAAAAAATAATAAATAAAACCATCGGGATGTGGGTCTTGAAGGGTAGATCGAGAATACTTATTGTTAGATAAATGATCGAGGACGCGTGAAGAATTATCATCGAGTCTCCGAATATCTCTGACAAGTATACTTATCTACCTTTCGCTTAAGACGTTATATTTAAGGCCTGAGATGATAATAGTTCAAGCAATTATTACAAGTATTATAACGATCGTTCCGTAATTGCTGGCTTACACAAGAAAATGTCCCTAATTATTCTCTACTAATACTTAATCATGTAAACTATGATGAACTACTAAGTTCAAGGATAGCTTTGACACATTGATCGATTTAGGAAAAAAAAAAAAAACTCTCGATAGATTATATCGAAGAAAGATTTATAGTTTTTGTTTTCGTCTTTCTTTATCTAACATTAGATAAACCTTTGACATTCCATTAGACTCTAATGACCAATGATTTTCTTCGAACGAGTTCTTTCGTCTACATTTTCGCGATCTGTATTCATTTTTCTTGACTTAACTACTCGTCGTATTTACGCACGGAAGGAAAAAGAAAAAAAAACAAAACAGATTTTAGCACCAAACAGTCAGGTTATTATCGGAAAACTTTGAAACTTTCTAGCCTTGTAATAAATCGAAACGCAACTTTTTTTTTTTTTAACACTAAACGCGGTGTCGTTTCTCTTATGTCAACGATAACTTGCGTTTTATTCGTAAATCAACAAAGAAAACATCTTATTCTTACTCTTCATCTTCATCATCATTTTACATTAAATATCCTCTTATTGTTTTCTTTTGATTTTTCTTTTCTTATTTACGTAACAATTGTGTCGTTGAAAAATATTCTCAAATTAAAATTCGCTTTTTTTTTATCGGCAAAGTTCGAAATTTGGCATACTACAGAATGCCTAGGTATTTATATACAATGTTTAGAAATAGTATATAATTTTTATATTTCGTACATTGCATAAAAAAGTCAGGCATTCTGCAGAATACCGGATTTTCGTATATTGCCGGTAATATATATATATATATATAAATGTGAAAATGTTACTGAACACAGACGTGTCACGCTCGTTGAATTGACCTGGGATGATTACTTGAAATTGACAAAAAAAAAAGAAAAAGAATGACGCGAATATTGGCTGTGATATATTTTCTCCGACGTTGATTTGAACGCCACGACGACGACGACGACGACGACGACAATGAACAACAACAATGAAAAATGAAAAGTAATTAAGTCCGAAACGAAAACTTCTGAAAACAGTGATGGCTAAGATTATAAAAGAGGATGGTGAAGTCGTTCAAGATGAGGAGACAATAAAGAAAACAATGTTTTATTGGTGGTGACCTCGAGCTTCAAGCTCACAGAACGATCAACGATGAGCAGCAACCTTCAAGTTCCGGAGCTTCGTCTTCCGGCTGGCGACGGTGGTGGGGGAGCCGGAAGTGGCACCGGAAGTAAAGGTACTGCCCCTCTCCTCCTTGTTCCACCTAGCAACGTGCCCAGAAGACGGCATTCTTGGATTTGCAGGTGAGAAAAAAACTATTTTTTTTCAGACAATTACGTGCAATACTAGGTTAAAAAAAGTAATCGAGAAATATGGTAAAGGGATGTTTTTTAATTTTTATTCTCCTTTTTTTTTTTTGTTTTGTCGAAGTAATTATCGAAGAGCGTTGGGCATTGAAATTAATGCGCAAAGTGGAATTCATTTAAAAGCTAGTTTCCAGTAGTTTCTTTCTATCTTAATTTTCTTACATTTTCCAAATTGTTAATACATTTTCCAAATGGGATTAATGTTGAATTGTATGCGATCCCATTTTCGTAAATTTAAGAACCAAATTCGTTCCCATTCGCTTAATCTCTTGAACGTTGAAAGCATAAGTTTTGCGATTGCCTGAATGAAATAAGCAAATAAGTTTTTAGTTTTACTCCGTTTATTCGTTTTTGTGATTAAATTGGATAAATATTAGATATCGATAAAATATCATTTACAATAATATATAGATAGAACCGCATTTTAGGCGATTGAATATTTTTCTATTTAACTTCCAACCACAATCGAAAAAGAGACAGACAGACAGACAGTTAGAGGGTTGGATACAAATGTTATCGAAACGAAAATTTTCGACTACCTTGTACATACATATATAACTATCAACCGAAATCGATTAAAAGCTTGATAGGAATAGCTGCAATTTTCGGTTGACTGGTTGTATTAAAACTTCACGCATTTCGATACATCCGTCAAATACCAAATTGATAACGTTATTGTTCGAAAAGTTAACACTATTATAATACATATTTGTGTTATTTTACGTAAACCATTATAAAAGTAAAATTAAGAAAAATACAGAAAACTAAACACATTAGCGTTATTTATCTACGAAATATTTTGACATTTAAAAAGTTTGATTAGGAAAGGCTTGGTAGTCGAAAAAAAGTGAAGGTGATTCTTTTGGAGGAATTTATACGGAAGAAGAAGATCGTGCGTAGAGTAAGAAACGAAAATAACAACATGCATTGGGAGGGATAGGAAAGGGGATTAAGGGGAACCTATCGAAGAACTGTGTTTGCGAGAAGACGAAAGTTTGGACACACGAATGGAATTTTAAAGTGGCGTCGCGAGATAAGTATTGAGTCACCTTAACACGTTTCTACGTATGCAGATACTGTCTGTAAAAATAATGTAGTAGCCATTCAAGCCCGACGGCTCTGAATCGTTGATACGGGATACATCATTGATTTTCTATGAAAACAGATAAATAAATACACGGTCGAATATAAAATTTTAATAAAAATTCCGTAATTATTATTTTCAAATCAAAAATATTTGATTACGTCAAACGGTATATTTTACGTTTAATCATAATCGTTATTATGTTAAACAGTGTTTATCGTTTCATTTTATATCCTCTATAATTTATACATTATTATAATAATTTTTTATACTCTTACGTGTGTAATTTTTTTTCTTTCCCTCTCGTAGATATAAACATTCAGAACATTTGCGTAAGTATTTTTTCTTAATATAATTTTCTCGTTGTTGAAATTTTCTTTTATAATACAATACTTCTTCAACTCGGTTATCTTCATCTACGTTTTATAATATACAATAAAATGCGATAAATTATATTAAACATGCACTCGCATCAATTTTCGTAGAAGGTAAACCATAACACGTTTGGTGGAAAGGGCTGCCGAGGGTAGGGTTTTACGTTTACGTGTGAGACGGTGATAAATTTGTCTCTCGTTGCACAACGTGCGATAATCATTTATTCATATTTTACGCTTGAATTTGTCTCTCTCTCTCTCTCTCTCTCTCTCTCTCTCTCTCTCTCTCTCTCTCTTTCCACGGTAGTGATTATAATTTTTCTTTTCAACTTTAGATGAGAGAAAAGCATTATCGACTTTGTGTATTAACCGTATTTCTTCTTTCTTTTCGTTTATAATCGCGAACTGGTGAAACGATAATGTAACACCGTGTAAGGGCTATTAAAACCCGATAATTAGTTACGGTTCGATATACGTTTGATCTTCCCATGGCGACGCAATTGCGCGTAAATCTCTACTATATAGACACGGTGAACCCGTATTTTCTCTCTCTCTCTCTCTCTCTCTCTAACATATATATGTACACCTGTATATATACGTACGTGTATCAACACGAATATAACTATAAATTTCAAAGGGCTCCTGATAACGGAAATTCACGCACACGATTAATCGATCACTGACGATACACACCACATTCTATCGATATATCATTATATTATATATATATATATATATATACATACATACATACATAGATACATCGAGGAACGTATAGCGTTTACGAAAACTCATTATTACATAATGTACTATTGACTAGTCGTCGTTCGACATATGACTTGAAAATAATCAAGTTAATGTTCTATCATTCTGTAATTATCGTTGACCAATGATAATCATCTAATCCAATGAATTTTCTAATTTCAAACTATTACGATAAAATATTAATGTAGTCAGATAATAAATTTCACATTTTTTTTTTTTTTCAGAAATTCTTTTTCCTTAAGGTCAGACACATATGTGAATTTGGTGTTAAAAATGGGAATAAATAATTTAATCGTTAAAAAGGAAAAGAAAGTAAACGTCGAGGAATGGGATTTTCTTAAGACACCTGTTAGAAACTGATGCGACTAACAAAACACGTAACATCTTTGATCTATGATAAAATAGATGCTCTATCTTTCTCTCTTTCTCTCTCTCTCTCTCTCTCTCTCTCTCTCTCTTGCGTTCCTTCTTTTTACGTCATAGAAGTATCTCAAGAAAGATCTGCGTCTTACGGCCATACATAAAAGACAAGATCGAGGACAAGTATGCTTCCTCCATTTTGCACTGTTTAAAGATAGTCTAATGCCCTCTTAACTGCTATTTTAAAGTTCTTCTCACGTACATATATTCCAGTTGAACAGCTATTACATCGACCCTAAATCGCCCATTTGTTAATACCCGAAACACGAACTTTGTTTAATACTATAATGTTTATTCAGTTGGCATCTCATTTTAATTACTTTAAGGAAGCAAACTAACTTCCGTATCTTTATTTTGATCTAAATATTTCGAAGATGCAATTTTGAGATAGAAAAAGAAAGGCAAAAAGTAATATCAATTAAGTCGAACCTAACATTTTGGAATGAACTTTTTTCCCCCCTATTTATTTCTACGATCATAATAAAACGTAATGAGCCGATAGATGAAAAGTATAATTAATTGAATGATCTGTATTTTTCTTACGAAACGGGGTAGGGGGGGAGGGGAGGGAAATATTTACTGAAGGTTTTAAAGATATTTTTATATTTATTTTTTTCCTCGATTATAGAAATTTTTTGTGTTAATTTACATGTCCAAATAATGTCCTATGTCGAACCTGTTTTGTTGTAAATATCATTACCAATCCATTTATATCGATAATAATACACGATATTGAATTTAGTGAACACACAAAAGAAAATAATTTTATCGAAAGCAATTATAATGTTAACGATTTTTGTTCGACAAATATATGTATACCGGGTTTTTCCAGGAAACGAAATACAAGCATCTATCGAACATGGTATACGCGGTACGAAACGTGTTAATTTAATTGAACGAGAAATTTATTTGTTTTTGTTGTTTTATTTTTTGTTTTGTTTTATATTTATTTATTTATTTATTTATTCATAGAATAAAGAAAAAAAAAATAAGAGAAAGACTTGAATTGATGGGTCCGCACTTTTTAGAGAAAAACATTATTTCCGAAACTATTCTGAAACATCAGAAACATTATTTTTTGTGTGTCTCTCTCTCTCTCTCTCTCTCTCTCTCTCTCTCTCTCTCTCTCTCTCTCTCTCTCTCTC